TGTTAAGAAAAATACAACCAAGGACTATTACCAAAGAGTTAAAAAGATACTGCAAACAAAATAAAAAGGAGGCGATATGGTAAAGGCGGGCAGTCCCAGTTCTAAGATACACAGCTGGCATTATTGACTAGAAACAAGCAGACTTAGAAGCAATAGATCGCAAAACTTGCAAGATAATGACAATGCATCATTTATCACACCTAGAGGTGTTGTTGATTGTTTTCATATATCAAAAAAATTACATAGAAGAGGTCTATTGAAACTTAAGCAAGCAGTTTAAGAAGAAAAACAAGCACTGAATGATTACACCAAGAAAAGCCAAGAGAAGTTTCTAGTTGAAGTTTACAAGGTAGACTTATTTAAGGTTACAAAAACCAAAGAACATTACAAAAAGATGGCAATCAAAACTCACCTAGACAATGGGATAGAAAAGCACTTGCATGGGCAACATTTGAAAGACATAGGGAACAAAGTTGAAAGTGAAAATACCTGGAAGTAGCTTCAAAATGAGCAATTGAAGAAAGAAATGGAAGGACTCATTCTAGCTCCACAAGAACAGGCAGTTGAATAGCACCTCGCAGGAAGGCTGTAGATGCGGCTACTGCCCGGATGGAATGTGCCCTTAGCAATCCCGGAAGTGACCTCTTTGCAAACGTGTAGCACAGTTTAATAGTCTCCACAATCCATATGGATAGTTGAAAGTGAAAATACCTGGAAGTAGCTCCAAAATGAGCAATTGAAGAAAGAAATGGAAGGACTCATTCTGGCTCCACAAGAACAGGCAGCTGAATACTATGAAAGCCAAGATTCAGAAGACCAGTGAAAACAGTCAATGTCAGTTTTGCAAGACAAAGAATGAAACAGTAAACCACACAGTCAGTGCCTGCAGTAAATCGCTCAAACTGACTGTAAAGAATGTCATGATACAGTTGCAGCTATCTTGCACTGGAATCTTTGCAACAATTAAGGCTTGTCATCATCCAGAAATTCATGGGAGTACAAACCAGACAAGACCATGGAGAGTGATGGAACAAAGGTTCTTTGGGACTTCTGATTACAAACAGATAAACACCTGGAGCATGATACCCCTCATATCACAGTTGCAGAAAAAATGAAAAGTAGAGTTTGGATCTCTGACACTGCAATCTCAGGAGACAGAACAGAAAAGAAAGAACAGGAGAAGATCACAAAATACGAAGATGTACAAATACAGTTAGAGCCCCTAGGGAAAAGAATTTTACCATCGTGCCAGTTGTCACTGGAGCCCTTGGGGCAGTGCCTAGAAGTCTCAAGAAACCCCTGGGCATTCTGGCCATTGAGCAAATAACACCAGCTCAGCTCCAGAAGACAGCACTGCTTGGAACAGCAAGAATCCTGCCAAAATACATCTGCAATTCCCAAGCACTTGCCTAGATCTCGAATTGCAGAACACCATCTACCAGTCAAATATCTGACTGTGACAATTCATCATCATCATCATCATCATCATCATCATCATCATCATCATCATCATCATCATCTATATAATAGTGAAGTATGGGCCCACCTACGGATAATTAAACTGGTGGGTTGGGTCCACATTGACAAAAAACAGGTATGCAAACTCAGGAGAACCCCCAAATATGCAGAAAAATCCGGGAAAAAAATACACTGGGTTTTTTTAAATCCCCCCAAAACAATATAGTATGCTCATGCGCAGATAACTCACAGGACAATGCCAGCTTCAAGGCAGCCTCCTACATCTTTGTAGCCGATGCAGTCACTCCTGGGGGACCGGCCAATGCAGCTTTCAGAGCAAGGGCAGCCCTGAGAAAGGCAGCCCCAGTGGCCCAAGAGGAGGTCAAGGTAGAGCCAAAGAAAACAACCACAGCATGGCCAAACCTGAAAGAGACCCAAGCCCTGGCCTAGCCAGAGGAAGGGGTCAGCTGAGGGGGCACTGAAAACAAGCAGTGGGGGAGAAAGAGGGGAGAGATTTTCAGAGAAGAAGTGGGAACAGGGGAAATTGACAGAGAAGAGGTGGGGGAGAAAGAGAGAGGGATGAAGGAAGATAGAGAAGGGGAGAGGGAAGGAAGCAGAGGAATGGGGGATGGGATACTCCCTCCCTGCAGGGGAGCTGTAGTAAAAGTAGTAAAAGTAATAAATAGTAATAATAGTAATAAATAAGAAATAATAATAATAATAACACTTTTTTTTGAAGAAAAAAGTTTTCCC